TCATTCTCCCCCTCCCCCTCCCCTCCTCCTCCTCTCCTCCTCCTCCTCCCTCCTCCTCCTCCTCCTCATCATCATCATCATCATCATCCCCCTCCCCTCCCCCTCCCCCTCCTCTCCTCCCCCTCCCCCTCCCCCTCCCCCTCCTCCTCCTCCTCCTCCTCCTCCTTCTCCTCCTCCTCCTCTTCCTCCTCCTCCTCCTCGAATTCAAGCAGGGCCCCGCCGCTTCCTGGAAGGAGAAAGTGAGGCACTGCGTGCAGCGCACCAGTTCTGATGTCGCCGGCATCGCCGAGCACCGCTTGCTCGCGGGAGCCGCCGAGAACGAGGCCATGAAGTTGCAGCGCCATAGGGTGGCATTCGCAACGCACGTGGGCTCCAGCTGCACCTTACGGGGAGGAGTGCAGCAGGTAGTCGCGGGGGCACCTGCTGGCTTGCGCGAGCAGGCCTGCTGACAGCAGCACGCTTCCCTGACGCCACGGGGAGGAGTGTGTTCCAGAAGAGTTTGAAGAGCGTCTCAGTCATGATGTGGAGGCTCCAGGGGGTGACAGTGGCGCTCATCTGCGTCTACCTCGACTCGGGGAAAGGGTTCGAGAATGATAATGCTAGCAATATGCTCCAGCTGACGCGCGTGATTAAGTCTTTGGTGGCGCCCTGGGTAGCACTCGGTGACTGGAACAGCGCGCCCGGACAAATTGCCCAAACCAAGTGGCTGGAGGCGATGGGCGGCGAGCTGCTCATCCCCGCGGACTGCGTCATCGCGTTCGCGTCAAGGAAGGGCAGGCTCTTTGACTACGGTGTGTGCTCGAAGCAAATCCTACCGCTGGTGAGGCATTTCAAAGGAGTTAGGGACGTCCCGTGGAGCCCGCACCTTAGGCTCGACTTGGCGCTCACAGCCAGGCCTGCACCAGTCAGCATCCAAGTGCCGCGTCTGCCCATGAAGACCGAAGTCCCTACGCGCAAGATCCGCATCCAGAAAGGACCCAGACGGGCGCGACGAGACAAGGAGCGCTACGCCAACCTCCACCAGGATGGCGCTGGAAACGGCCTCGATCCCAACGCCAACAGCGAGCTGGACATTCACCTTCACCTCTTGGACACTGAATACGAGAAGGAGATCAAGGCGACAGCGACGGACGACATGTGGCACCACGCACTACATCACCACCAGTATGGAGCTACCGACATGATCCCGAGAGCGCCGAAGTATTGGGCCAACACTTCGGACAATGGACCAGGGCGGCGGAGCTATCCTTGGGCCTACTCCAGGGCACCGACCAACATGCAGCGCAACAACGAGGAGTGCCGCATTTCGAGTGAGAAGAAAGCAGTACATTAACGAGGGTCCGAGCCGTTCGAGAATGCAGCCAAGCGCATGGCAGCGCGACTGCGTGAATTGGCAGCGCTCCAACGGTGCCACTCCAACGCCACCACCATGCAGGCGGTCATCAGCGCGATCAGCAAGCTATACACACATCTCGTCAACTTGAAGACGAAGCTCGACAGCAGATGCGACCCGCGGGACTTCTTCAAGGATGGTCCAGTTCTACGGCTCATTGGGACACACCTGGGCTTCCCACCAGAACAGCAACAGCTGACCTCGACGGCCGCCAACAGCTCCACGGCGGCGCCATCTACCACAGAATGCGACGGCATCCTGCGCATGGTCATGCGGACGCCCAGCTACCAGTGCTACCCGAACACTGACGTGCGGTTTGGCAGCCCCATCCATGAGATCGTCAGCGACTTGGAGGATAGCGTCGCCAGTGTTGCCAAACCGAGAGGCTCAGCTGCGAGAGCACTGCTACGAGGCACTACCTGCGAAGGGGACCTAGACCCGTTCGACTTCATCGACCAGGAGGGCCAGGAGCACAATGTCGAGCATGGCGTCAATTCGCAACGTCCTGGTGTGCCACCAGGGCTCAGTCGCCACGGGCGTTAGATCGCAAAATCCTGGTGTGCCACTGCGGCTACCAGGCTCAAAGTCGCCACGTGTGCCTGGGCTCGACAAGGGCATGGACGACGGGGTGGACGTGGTGGTCGTGATGCCCGTGGGCCGGCTGCGCGCCACGAGCCCCCGCCAGGGGGCCCGCTACTGGACCGCCGCGAGGGGCGGCTCGATGGCCAGGGGGGGGGGGGGGGGGGGGGGCAGGAGGGCAGCTCTGGGAGCACCCCGAGCCCCCCCCCCCCCTCCCCTCCCCTCCCCTCCCCACCTCGAGGCAGGCGCAGCCACGCGACCGCTCCATGGACGCGGAAGAGGCAACGGACGCGTCCAGCACGGAAGGTGGTACCTTGCCTGCGCATGCCAACGAGCAGAACGTCACGCGCAGATCGCATGCCAGGACACGAGGCGTCATATACGGTACTGGGCCACGCAAGCTACGACAGGAGGCATGCAGGGAGCGCACAGGTACTTGGCCGTAGCCTGTTGCATCCATTGGGCTGGGGCCCGTCTTCGTCGGGCAGGGTGCCAGACCGACGGACTGTGCAAAGAGTGCGATCTAGGTGTGGATGACAACATCAGGCACCGATTGTACGAATGCCCTGCCATCTCGCTGTGTGAACACCCACGGGTTATCAGGGCCCAAGGATTGTGCGAAAGAGCTGCCAGGGAACTCGATCAAGCTGTGAGCGCTGCCCTGTGGTTGCGGGGCATTGCCCCTGTCAGCTGGAATTCGGTCCGGGGTCGTTTTCGGACCGACGCGAAAGCCGTGTTTGGGTGAGGAGTTTGCATCCAGCAGGAGCCAGGGATCTCCAACTCCTCCTCCTCCCCCCTGGGCTTGACCCCCTCGGACGCTTCCCCAACCCCAGGGTGGTACGGAGGAGCCGACGGCAAGCAATCGGTTCCAGCATTGGAAATGGCGGCGCTGCGGTGGAGCCTTCTTCTCACGCGAGGTGACACGGTGATTTATACTGACGCTCAGGTTGTCTTTGATGGTTGGCACCAAGGTATATTGCAGAAGCCGAGCGGAAGTTTACGGCGCTGGTGGGAGCGCGTGGCGCGGAAGCCTGGCGAGACCGCGAGGGATCTGTGGTGCTCCGCAAGTGCTGCAGCCATTTAGATGTTGCCTCCCACCGTCGTGCGGGCCAGTGCCCAACAGCTTCGAGAGGCAACGAAGTGGCTGACAGTTTTGCACAGCTTGGGGCGGAGGAAGCCTCGCGGGCGATCCGCTCGGAGGTCCTCGCCCTGCGCGCAGGCGACGCTATGGCCACCCGCACACACCAGCAGATGGCGGCACTGACAGTCTGGGGGGGCGGCGAAGGCCGCTGGCAGGCAGGACCGCCCCGCCAGAGTAGCGCCCGAGAGGGTCCAGGCGTGTGATCGAGCTGGAGAAGGCGTCTGGGCACAGGGGCTCGCTGGTTGACCGGCTCGAAGGATCACGCTGTAGTGGGGACCCCCTCAGTAGAATCCGCAGCGAAGCTGGAACCCATGTCCTGGTGCCACCTCAACTTGCCAGCCTGGTCTGTACCCGAACGAAAGAAAATCACAGCTCCCACGTCCGTGGGATGTTGCATGGACTAGTTTGGTGCTGGAAGTGCGGTCACTACGGGAGCGTGGCAACCGAGAAAGGTAGGCTCCTTTTGCTGACGGAACCGTGATTGACGGTTTGCACCCCCTCGGGCAAGAACTGCTTGAACCGAATTGAAAAGGGCCTCCTCTCTAAGCCAGGAAAGCCCTGGCCGATCCCACCCCGTGCCGAAGGGAGGGCGTTTTTGGTGGGATAGGGAGTTGCCGATTCCTTCTGTAAGAAGGGCACAAAGAAAACCTTTAAGTGGAGTTCTACTGTGGGCCACCCCCACACGGGGGTGCTGATAGCCAGCTGTGTCAACGATGCTGACTGGCTCCAATCCGATCTCCCGATCTCCCGATCTCCCGATCTCCCGATGTCCTCCTCCTCCTCCTCCTCCTCCTCCTCCTCCTCCTCCCTCCTCCCTCCTCCTCTCTCCTCCTCCTCCCCCTCCCCCTCCTCCTCTTCCCCCTCCCCCTCCCCCTCCCCCTCCCCCTCTCGCCCCGCCCCCGACCGAGCCCCGCTCAAAACGGCCACCGGACCCCTCCTGGGCCCCGACGCTGGCGATGTTCAGAACCGCGTCGGGCCGTCGCAACGGGAACCAGACACGATCGCGTCGTACACAATGCAGGACGGCAAGCGTTTCGCTAGTTTCGGCCTCGGGGGCCCCTCGCCGGGCCCCGGGGCCGTCAAAAAACGGCTCAGGATGAGAAGCTGGTCCCGGGGAAAGGGTCTGGACTTCCGGGGACGCCGTCCGGAAAAGATCACGTCGCATGTCTGGGCTGGGAACGGCCCCGTGGAGCCTCTGGATCGACGACGTCGCTGCCGACCCCACGGCGCCAGGGGCTTCCGAGAGCTTCGACAGGATTTCCTGGAGGCCCCCGTAAACTCCATATGGACCTCCAAAAAGCTCTCGGCGACCTGACTCTCCCGCCCCCTCCCTCCTCCTCCTCCTCCGTCCCCTTTCTCCCTCCTCCCCCTCCTGCCGTCGTCCTCCTCCTCCTCTTCCTCCTCCTCATTCCCTTGTTCGTCCTCCGCCCAGCCTTCTTCCTTCTCATACAACTCCTTCTCGTCGCGCCAGCAGGCGTGTCAGTAGACCAGGCCTGGAACTTCACCGGGCACGTATGCATCACGCATGGCGATGACTGTTGGAATGTTAGCCAGCGTGGGCCCCATACGCTGGTTTGTTGCACTGCGGATGTGTAGACTATGTGGTGCGAGCTATCTGGTGTGCGCTGTGTTATGTAAGCAGCGTGGTGCAAGCGATGTGGTGCATGCCATGTGATGTCAACCGCGTGGTGCAAAAAACTGCGAGTTGTCAACTCCACTGCTCGCGCAATCATCCCATCCTCCCGCCCGCAACTTGTTCGGCAAAACCCATTCGGCCACGATTGCAGTTGCCGATTGGCACTTGCTGCCGCATATCTGCGGCCGCGCTAGCGCGCTCGCGCTCGCGCGCAGGCCGATCAGCTGGTTTGGCACAGCTGAGGCGGCCGCGGTGGCGTTTATCGATGCGAACTTCCCAGCGCGTCTCAAAGGCCGCGCTGGCGCGCGGGCACCTCAGTGCGGGGCGGTGGCATGATGACATCGGCAAAAGGGGCAACGATGATGAGAAGAACGACGGTGGTGGGGATGATGACGATGACGGCGGCAAGGTACATGACGGCGCAGGGCCGATGCTGGTGACGACGATTACGATGATGATGTTCACGTGTCGGCGATGAGGGTGGTTGACTAGTGATGGCGACAATGGCGTCGACTGGCGATGACGATGACGGCGTTGATGCGGAGGAACAAAATCTGGCAGACTTTCGGTTGAAACACACTGCTTTCATCTGTTACCAAGTAGCTCTAGATTCACATGTTTGAGGGAGCGTGATCCGCCGTCGCTGGCCTGAAGCCATTTGTTTGATAAGGGGAGCTCAGAAGCCGGGAGTCCCAACCCCCTCCACGTCTAATCCCCCCCCCGCCCCCAAAAAACCAGGCGGTCAGAACAACCCTCCCCTCCGTCACCCCGGAAAATGATTGAGAGGGGTCCAGAACTCCCTCTCCCCCTCCCTCCCCTGGAGCCAGGTGTCGTCGTCGTCGTCGTCGTCGTCGTCGTCGTCGTTGCCGTCGTCGTCGTCGTCGTCGTCCGTCATCGTCGGTCGTCGTCGCTTGCCGCCTTGCTCTGGCGCGGGAGGGGGGCTTCTGAATCCCCTTGCAACAATTTTCCGGGGGGGGGGGTTCTAGAAATCTCCCTCCCCTCCGCGGCGCAGGCGGGAAACCTATCCATGTTCCACGGCGCCCTGGTCTGGACTCCCGGGCTGCGGAACCCCATGAATGCGGGGCGGCTCTGCGCCGACGCGTATCCATGGGATCGCGCTGCGCTGCAGTGCCCAGACCGCGAGGGCACGGATACGGACACGGCGGCCGCTCATTTTGGGGGAGGGGGAGGGGGGGGTGACCCCCCCTCCCCCTGCCAGCAACATGATAAGAGCTCTTCCAAATCCTTCGAAAACCAATGGTTTTGAACGGGTTTCGACACGTGCGCGTGGCGGCGCTCGCGTGCGGTGGGATGAGAATGCCGGTTCTGGACGAGCTTGTTCAAATCATATGGTTTCTCTGTGATCTCGGCAAGTGCCCGCGGGCATAACACCTGAACAATTTTCGATTGACATGAAAAGGTTTATAAGGTTTGTTTGTTGAAACCGTTGCGGAACTAATGTGCTTGGTCTCGTTCCGACATGTGCGCGCGTGGAATTTGTGATATTTGTTTGTAAGGGGTTCTTGCCAAGTGAACTCTTTACATCAAAAACTGTGCGCGCACGGTATAATTTGACAAGGATGAAGGAGGGTGTCGATACCTGGTTGGCTGTGATGGTCTGGCTGCATACGGACAGTGAGGCAGAGTCAGATGTGACTTGCACTGTCCAAGGGGGGTCGATAAGTCCCGGCTCGGGAGGGGGATGGACCCTACTCCCCCCTTGACCAGAGGACCTGTGTGGTGCGAGCTGTGTGGTGTAAGCTGCGCGGTGCAAGCCATGTGAACTGAGCTGCGTGGTGCCCTCGGAGGTGTCCCCGGCCGCCCACCCGGCGCAACCTCGCCGCACACTCCTGGCGCACGGCGCGCCCACGAGGCGCCCACGGCCGCCCGCCAGGCGAGACCTTGCCACACCCACCCGAGGGCTCATCAAGCGCAATCAGCGGCCCTAAATGCAAGCATTGTCGGAGGAACTTCCCTCCAGCGTATCCCGGGGGGGGGGGGGCGGGAGGTCGATGTCCAACATGTCGCTCTCGACCTAGCGCCACGCAGATCTGCCTGGCGGCTTCGAACAGTGACACGGGTGGAGGGTGGGTGGCATTGAAGCGGTGCCTCTTGCCCTAGCGCCGCGCACGCATGCGTCTAGCCTGTTTACTACAAAGGCGCGGATGGATGGCGGCACATGTTAGAGCAAATAATGGTTCTCGCCTTCGCGCCGCTCACATGGGTCGTGAACCTGTTCCTGTAGCTCCACGGATGCAGGGCGGCCCGTTTTCAAAATTTGGCTTTCGCGCCGCGCGCATTCGTCTGACAACTTTCCAGCAGCTGCACGGATGGAGGAGGTCGCCTCATTTTTCAAACTTGGACTATCGTTTAAGACTCGACTACCGTTTAAGACTCGATCGAGTCATCCCCCAGAAACTGAAGCCTGTGCAGCGGTCACGCGGACGGAATGCGGCTCCTGTTCGAAGTGGCGCTCTCGCTTGGGGTTTTCCTCGGGTGCAATGACCACTAGCTCATAGCTCCTTCACCATTTGACGGGCGGGATGGCCGCTCCTTTTCCACACGGGGCGCTCGCTGGGGACTGGTCAATTCAAGCTGTATGCCGCTGGGGGTCGGGGCGAGGCTCTCGGCCGAGTGGCATGCCCATGGCGCGCTCGTCTCTCGACGGGACGCTTCCAGAAACGAGAGGGAACGCCTGTAGGGAATTCTTGCGAGGGGGCTTGGGGCGCGAGGTTGTAGTGTAGCATTGCTGATACATCCTGGGTTTACTTTTGTCCTTCTCGTCGTCGTCCTTCTCCTCCTCCTCCTTCTCCTCCTCCTCCTCCTCCTCCTCCTCCTCCTCCTCCTCCTCCTGCTCCTCCTCCTGCTCCTCCCACCCTCCTTCCCTCCCCCTCTCCATCTCCCCCCCCCTCCCCCTCCTTCCTCCTCCTGCACCTGCTCCTTCTCCTCCTATTCCTCCTCCTCCTCCTCCCTACTCCTCCTCCACCTCCTCCTCTTCCCCTCCTCCTCCTCCTCCCTCCTCCCTCCTCTCCTCCTCCTCCTCCTCCTCCTCCTCCTCCTCCTCCTCCTCCTCCTCCTCTGCCTCCTCCTCCCCCTTTTCCTCCGCCTCCTCTCGCTTCTCATCCAACCCTTTCCTTATACAAGAAAACCTATGTGTCGCACCCCGAGGCGTGCGGGTAGGGCGGGCCGCGCGTTTCGCCAGAGACTTCCGCACCATGTATGATCCTTGAGCTGAAGATTGGCAACAGCTTCGCGGATGGAGGGCGGGTGGTTTTCAACGCGTGACTCTCGCCTTAACGCTGCGCGCAGTCGTCTTGCAGTTTGCAAGAGGTTCACGGATGTAGGGCAGGTGGTTTTCAAGATGTGGTTCTCGCAGTAGAGCCACGCGCATTCGTCTTAAACATTTGCAGGACCTTCACGGATGGAGGGTGGGTGGTTTTCAAGATGTGGCTCTCTCCTTAGTGCCGGGCGCATTCGTCTGTTAAAATGTTGCAGGAGTTTCACGGATGGGGGGCGAGTTGTTTTCAACATGTGGCTCTCGTCTTAGCGCCGTGCGCACCAATTGTCAAGTTCACTGAAGCTCCACGGGTGGAGGTGCAGTACAGTACTCCAGCCCTTCAACATCGATCTCTGACTGTTGGGGAGAACTCTGGCTCGGGCTGGGGCACCATAGACATTGCTACGCCTCTCATGTCGTCATTTCGCCGATCTAGGCAACCATGCTGCTGCCGCAACACCTAAGGTTATGCTGATTCTGCTGCACACTCAACAGCTGCTACACAACGTGCTAATACACAACCGTGCAAATACAAAAAACTAAAACACGAGACGCGCAACTACACAGGCGCGCTGATACACAAGCGTGCAAATGCACAAACTGAAGCAACTGCATAGAATACACAAGCAAAAGAACAACGCAAGGCGCGGGCAACAGGCTGATGGCCTAAAGGAAGAGGCCCAGCACGAGGGCGTGGCCGCAGGGACTACTCACTCACTACTTCTTACCTCCGCGACGTTTCCTGCCCAACGGGCGGGCCATATTGTTGCGAGGGGCTCGGTTCATCTTCGCGTCTCCTCCCATGCCCCGAATCGCCTCGCTGATCATCTGCTCTACTGGAACCCATAGTCCTGGAATCTGCATCATCTCTGACGGGGCCCGACAGGACTGATCATCAGGCTTGTCACTGGGGAGCTGGGATCCTCGGGGTCCTCCTTGAGCATCAGTTCGAGCCCTGCCGCGACCCCGTCCTCGTAGGGCAGGAGCATGTTGCCGTGCAGCGCGTACGTCATGCGACTCTTCTGAGGGGCCCCTGGCTTGTCGAACGTCGGCAGCGCCACGAGCCCCCGAATCCATGATGCCATCTGTACTGGTACTGAGCGCTCCATCATGAGCGCGAGTCTTTTGCAGCCTGCTGAGGCCGCTTTCATCCGTGGTGAAGTATCCTTGAAGCTGTAGTTCTCGATAACGGCTAGAAGTGCGAAAAGGGCTTGGGATGCGGGTCCTGCGAGCTCCTGCTTGCCTTTGGCCTTCTCCTCCTTGGTGCGCTTGAGATAGTCCTGGGACGAGTTGTGGATGGCCTCGAAGGCCGTCGACTTGCGATCGATGATCGCTGTGGAGAAGGCTGCGTTCACGAGGCTCCTGACCCTGGCCTCGAGCTGGATCAGCAGGGCGTCCCTGGTCGAGTTCTTGTCGAACTGCTCGTCGTGGCCTGCTTCTGGCCACGACGAGCAGGTCGCCCTCCGTCCTGGCCTGCTTCTGCAGCGGCCCTGATCCTCCCAGCAAGCTTGCTGCGCGTGGTCTCACCAGTCCCGAGCTTGACCCTGCGCCGTCCATCAAGCCGAACGCGAAACGTGGGATATAGATACTCACGCAATTGAAAAATATGCTCGAGATATGAGTCTGCGGATTCGAACTCCTCAAGACAGGTGTGGCACTTCATGTTGGGTATACCTTGGGCTACATTTTCATGCGTATCACGACTATAAGGGCAACGTTGTCTTATCCAGCTATTATTTGTGTGTTGTTGTGCTACAGTACGGTCGCGGAATACACTCCCACATATGGTGCACGTATTGGTCAGGGTACATGTTCGGGCTACCTGTAGTTGACCATGGGTACCTCCTTTGGCAGAGGCGATGTGTGCTATTAATTGTTGTCTTGTGGCCCATCGGGTGCAGCATTGTGCCCCGTCGTCCAGACATTCACGGCAGACAGAATCTCTTTCGACCCCATCTGCCTGCGGTGCTGCGCTGGTGGCAGCTGGCGAAAGAAGAAAATGAGCAAGCAGCTGACTGACACCAAGTGCTTGAAATTATTCGCTGGTGTCGGGGTCAAACAGTGGGAGATCCAGGTGACCATTTGCCTGCAATGAAAGATCTTCGTCAGGCTCTATGGTCCCAAGAGAATCGATGTCCTGCTGTAGCTGAACTGCCCAAGGGTGCCCCTGAGGAGGTATTCGACCTTTTAGTAACACGTTTCCATCTACTGCCATAGAGCCTAGCAGAGCAGCCCCAAACTGACCATGCAAATCTTTGGCTTTGCTTAATTCCTGATGCCACCTAAGTCGTCGCAATCGAAGCTCAAGAAATAGGGCCCCCACTCCGGACTTCTTGAGGACCTGCTGAGACGTGGGAGATTTCGCATGCCCCGAATCCCAAGAGCACGCCCCTGCCAGAATAGCCCTGCATTTGTGCACGATGAACGTTTCGGGTACCTGGATATCCCTCGGCGAAAGGGGCCCTTGCGACTTGGCCCAGACTTCCATCCCAGAGAGAGCACTGTTGATCAGGAGGCCTTTCACGATATTCACCTTGAGCTTCCAAGGTGCTGTCGAAAACCAGAAGCTTCCCATCGCATAATCGCTTACGCGAAGCGACTCGAGTCGCTTCCCAACTTCGGGGGCTGGTGAAAAAGTAAAGGAAAAACGCCCTCCGAGATATCGCGCATGGTGCCGACAAGCTCCTGCAATCGTCTTGCACTCTCCTCGATGCAAGAACCTCGTTAAATTGTGAGCACCCATGGCTGCTAAGTATACGACGTTTTCCTGCTTGGATACGTTTCGCACTGCTCCCACCTCTCCCATCCCGCCTGATACCGCTTTGTTCTCAGATGCTGATCCTGCTGATAGCTGCTGAATAGCGCCCCGCTTCCCGATCTCCAATACCTTGTTAGCGATGTCATATACAAAACCAGTGAGCGCAACTTGCCGCACGTCAATTCCGTGCTCGTCCCGGAGCCGCCGAACACTTCTGGCATGAACTTGGCAACTCTCGACTGCAGGAAGTAGCCCACGGGGGACCACCACGTGGTCTATGTGGCTTTCGCCAGTCTCACCGACGTGATATGCAACATTGGGGAAGAAGCTGTTCGCGGCAGAGAGGTCCCAGGCCTGCAGCACGGGGCGGATGGCGGCTGAGGCGGGGCAGGGGTTGCCTACGCCATATTCTCCTGCGACATTGCCATCATCAGACTGCCTGAGACCTCCATTCAAATCCATGTGGAGAAGAGGGAGAGCGTGCTTGCTGTCCAAGAACTCAAGAGTATTCTGCAACTCGCGGATGGAGGGCGGCTGGTTTTCAAAATGTGGCGTTCGCCTTAGCACGGCGCACATCCGTCGTAAGAGTTTACAACAGTTTCAAGGATTCTGATGGACGGCGTCCCAGAAACGGTGTTTAGGCACGATGTAGGACTGTCAGGGCGCAACAGTTATATTGATTCGCAGCGCTGAATTCCCAGGGGCGGTGTTCTGGCACGACTCTGAATCCCCAGGGCGCAACACTAATGTTGACTCGCGGCGTTGAAATCTCAGGGATGGTGTTCTGGCGCGGTTCAGGATTTTCAGACAGTTGTCTTCAACGGGGCACTTTCATAAGAACAGCAAATCCTTGCAAAAGCCTATGAAATTGCACTGCAAAGGGAGATTTGCTGCAACATCGCTGATGGGTCTTAGGCTCACGCGGGTTCTCCTCCTCCTCCCCCTCCTCCTCCCCCTCCTCCTCCCCCTCCTCCTCCCCTCCTCCTCCCCTCTCCTCCCTCCTCCCCTGCTCCTCATCCTCCCCTCCTCTCCTCCTCTCCTCCTCCTCTCCTCCTCCTCCTCCTCCTCTCTCATCCTCTCCTCCTCCTCCTCCTCCTCCTCCTCCTCCTCCTCCCTTCTCCTCCTCCTCTCCTCCTCCTCCTCCTCCTCCTCCTACTCCTCCTCCTCTCCTCCTCCTCCTCCCCCCCCTCCTCCTCTCCTCCTCCTCCTCCTCCTCCTCCTCCTCCTCCTCCTCCTCCTCCTCTTCCTCCTCTCCTCTCCTCCTCCCCCTCCCTCCTCCTCCTCTCTCCTCTACTCCTCCTCCTACTCCTCCTTTCCTCCCATCCTCCTCTCCTCCTCCTCCTCATCCTCCCCTCCTCCTCCTCCTCCTTCCTCCTCCCTTCTCTCCCTCCTCCTCCTCTCCTACTCTCCTCCTCATTCCCACCCCCCATCCTCCTCCTCCCCTCCTCCCTCCTCCTCTCCTCTCCCCTCTCCTCCCCTCTCCCTCCCCTCCTACTCCCTCCTCCTTCCTCCTCTCTCCTCCCCCTCCTCCTCGTCCTCCGCTTCCTCTTCCTTCCCTCCTCCTCCTCCTCCTCCTCCTCCTCCTCCTCCTCCTCCTCCTCCTCCTCCCTCTCCCTCGCGTTGCCCTCTTCCGCGCGCCGCCGAGCCCGAGGCCCCGCGGGGTGCGCGCGAGAGGCGGGCCGGCCACTGGAGCTGTGCAGCGGAAGCCCCCCTCGA